CATTCATGTGCCTCCAGAATGCATAATGATGCCTCACAAAACAAGAAATCGGTTACAGTTTTTTTTTGCGAATGAAGGGGCGTGTCAGGAGGGGAGAGTTTGGTGCGGCGCCAAATCAGTTTATCAGCAGTTGTTGAAGCGAGTAAGCGACAGACTGTACCACCCCTTTCGTATCAGTCCTTTTTCACCAATTGTTGTCGCGTACCCGCTTCAACAACTGATGGAGAATGGTTTTAGCGCCGCACCCAACGCATCCCGCCTGACACGCCCCTCATCCGCAGCGGACATGACTGTAGTTGTTCGCTATAGGGTGCGTTTTTTGAATAGTTTTTGTTCAAATTTGGGTTTTCCTTCTTCAGAGTCGAAGGTACCGATAGCCATTGTTGTTATCGTGCAAGACAACTCTAATAGGGAACAGTATCAACAAGCTCAGGATACGGTATCATGCTACGCAACCTATCACGGCTATCCATTTCACTTTGTCGTTGTCAAAGACAACACTACATTAGGAGAACTATGTCCTCAGAAAGATGTGAGTTTAGCTGTAGCGTTTCAGAAGCCTCGAAATTCTCAATAAATTTCAATTTAATCAATTGTTTCAGTTCATGTTCCAACGTCATTGTGTAGTAGCTCATATGATGAGCTCTTGGGAAGAAGAGTGGCTCCTGTTCCTGGATGCAGACATGGCTGTAATTAATCCCAATCACTTAATTGAGGAATATATCCCTAGTGATCCCGATATTCATATTGTTTTCTACAACAGAATATTCAATCACGAAGTTATGGCTGGATCTTACCTCACGCGGTAATATTTAGGCTTCGCATTTTTGTGTTCTGGAAGATATCTAAAGTTAGCCGTGCCTTGAGGAGGGCACATAGTACCTCACGGATCCCTAGCGAGAGTGGTCGTGCTCGGTCGCTGGAGGGAGGGGAGGGATGCGGTTTTCCTCTGACCGAAGTATATTTGGTTTCTCTGATTCACTTAGTTTTTCCCGGTTCACTAAAGCTATATACCGCGCTCTCCCCTTCTCCGCCTCCGTTCGAGTCGTTTTTCATCCTGGGGGAAGGGGTGGGGGGGGTGAAGAATTAGTCCGGAAAAGTGGTAGAAAGTTGGAGGGAATACAGTATGTTAGGTAGTTGGGGCACGGGTGGTGGATGGGGAAGGGGATCGCACTAGAGGAGGAAGTTTCGGGGAGATGCTGGCGTAGCCGCCTTGCTGCCAAATCACATCCTCCCCAGAGAGGCAGAGCTGCCGCCTTTCTAAACGAGTTAATCAGGAAACTAGTTGGAGTATCAAGTAAAATAGTGCTACATGTGAGACATACAGTTCATATAGTCGGGGTCCGGCGGTCAGGAGACTTGGAAAAAGCCCAGCCAACCGCGATTTCCCCTACCACTGGTTGTGTTCATGCCTAGAACGAGCGATTAGTGGGAAGGAACACAACGGCGCGATAGCTCCTTCCATTTGCTCCTAACACCGGTTGCGGTCGGACTGCGATGGTATCAACTATACCTCTTTGTCTGCTCAGGTTTTTAGCTGGCCATTTTAAGACTGTCGTCGAGACTTATGGCGTACTAATCATGTAAAGAAGTGTTTCTAAGAATGGTTTTCAGCAACTCCAACTACTCTTACAACTTCCTCATGCACTGGAGCAATTATGAGTTCAAACTGCCACATAGCTTCCATGGATCGGATAATGGAGCCATTCACGTAAGTACAAATGAAGCGGGATTCATGATTTGTGATTGAGACAGGTCGTTGTTTCGTGCTAAGAGCTAGGATCGGGGAGGAGGGAGTGATGCCGCTGCTGCGGCTTGTCTGCCGATAAGCTGTTCTGGAAACTTGCAAACCACCACAGTTGGTAGAAACTGGCTGGCGCGCGGCCAAATCCCAGCCTGACGCCTGGGCCCGCGTACGCAACAAACAGGAATGGAATATACGTATCGACAGGGGGCATGATTTCGTGACAAGGGGCTAGACAGAAACCTAAGACTATCGAGGGAGCAGGAGAGCCGGTTCGCGGTCCCATCAATCCGTAGGCGCTATTCTCCCAGAAGGTTCGGAGACGCCAAGATCGATAAAAAATCTACTCCTTTCACCATTCTTTCCAAAACACGGATCTCCCGATGGCGAAGTGTATTTCAAGAGCGTTGGCCCTAGTTAGACAGCACGCCTTTGGAAGACTTGAGCTGGAGAGGGCCTAGTTGCGTACTTTGAGCGTGCGCTTTTTTGATAAGATATTGTCGTTTTGGGGCAACTGTGACCATCTCTTTGACCTACACATGACAGGATTAGAGTTGTAACTACAGCATGTCGTGCGTTGGAGATCCCAATGAGGAGATAGTTTTTGGTCGCTGGAGAAAGGAAGGAGTCTATTTGCCTTCGAGAATGTTTTCGAACATTGAGCAGCCTTTCCCCGTCGTCCCTACTTCTCCTGCCCGTTCGACGACAGCTTTCGAGAGAAAAAGTTGGGGTATTTTCGGTCAATAATCCGGAAATGTGGTAGGAAGTTGGAACATTCGGGAAGATGGTAGTTAGGTTGGAGTTAGCGAAAAGGGGGCCCTCCCTAAAGGAGCAGGCTTCGAAGGTCGCATTTTGCAAGAATTTGCAACGGCACGACGTACTCTAGGTGTATCAAATAGAAAACGCATCCTCAGCCATGCTTTATTGAAGTGGGTGACCACGCCCTCTCATCTCCCACATGCAGTGTATGTAAGTGCATATTTCAGAGTGCTATAGTCTCCTACGAAGTTCCTGCTCAAGACGCTGCTCGCAAAAAGTGTGAAAACTTCTGGTTGGCTGCCAAGTGAGTTAGTTTCTTCACTCGTTCCTTGAGTCACAGCCTAACAACTCTTTTCAGGGATTTTAATTCTCTGTCAATATATGAGGTCTGTATGCAGATGATTTTATCGCTTAATCAGCTGAAGCATATCCTAATTCTGCCTAAGGTACTTTCGCTACCTCTTCTAAAGTCACACATTCCCTATTATGGTACAATTCTTCTTTGGTTGAATCTGCACGATCTTTTGTCTATCAAGGGCACATCATCATGGGCACGTGATGGGTGGCTTACAAATTCGGCCTGGTGCGAGCGAGATTTTATACTTCACGGATGGCAGAAGAGGTGAGGCGGATTCTGCAGAAGTTCAACTCACTTTCATGATCTTTCGTCATTCCAGGAGAAAGGATAAAATGCGATTTGCACGGTGGCATTCTCCTTTTGTGGACGCTGCTTGGGATTTAACTTTGTGTGGAGCGTCAGACTCCTATTTGAATTGGAGGTATTATCAAGTTGAATGTCGAAGCCTGCTTTTCTTATCGATAACTGCTGATCATTTAAAACCGCCACAGTTTTCGCGTTTCGAATGTTATCACAAGAATGCTGAGTTGTGGGCAAAAGTCGTGCCCCAGGCGGGAGTCGAACCCGCACTTCACGCTTTGCGCTATCCGTTACGCCACCAGGGCCGCTTTTACCCACTCAGCTCAATGGCTTTTATGCCGTAGCCTTACAGCACTCACCGTTTAACTTAGTGAGCCGGCCAGCCGTAATCGTTAGATATCGGCATGGAACCGCTAGGCCGAAGGCTTTACAAGTTAGGCGTTAAATTAATTAATTAATTAAAGCGGCGTTAAACAGCAGTTATCATAAAAAAAACAGCTTCAAAAACTTGCAAAGCCTTCGGCCTTGCGGTTCCATGCCGTTATCTAACGATTACTGCTGGCCAGCTCACAGTTAAACGTGTGGCGTTTGCTGTTAAGGCTAAGCATAAAGAAGGCCCTTAAAGACACATGGTACGCTCATACACATTGAGGGTGTATGAGACTATCAGCCCCCAGATGTCGATGTGTCGTGGTCCCCCGCCCAAACATGCCCAGGAAATGGAGATACAGGGCCGTGAAACACGCTAATTCTTCCATGCTCCGCCCACTGCCTTTTTACGGCGCAGATTCCCGCCGTTCATAACATCCGTCGTAAGCGCGCCTGTCGCGTGCGGCTCCTTGGCACTTTGCCAAGTCCTTTAATTGCGCTCTCAAATACAAGTAAAACGCAATTTCCTGATGCGGATAACACTGGAAGTGCTGCAAAGTAAGAACAGAAGATGATGACGAGGGTCAGAACTTAAAAGCAACTGTGCCACTTCTGCAACATCCCTCGGAGGCCACGTATTTCCACGAAACATGAAAATAAAAACGGCATACTCGTTAGTTTAATACAAGCAAGACGCAATTTCCTGATGCGAATGAACACTGGAGGTGCTACAAAATAAGAGCAGAAGATGATGACAAGGGGCAGAACTCAAGAGCAACTCGGCTGCATCTGCAGTATCCATCAAGGGCCGCGCATTCCCACAAAACATGAAAATAAAAACAGCCCAAGCGTCCCACTCGTTTGTTCTAAGTATTTCTATGGCTTTGGCGCCGCGTTACCGCTAGAAATTTACAGGGCCAGTTTATCTAATTTGCCTTCCCTTGATTTTTTCATTTTTGTTTTGTTTACATTTACATCGTTGTGCTTCATTTCTAGCCTGTGTCATCTTCATCTCCTTGTACATGGATTTTGAAGCATGAGCAACACCTAAAATTTTATTCGCATCAGGAAATTGCGTTTGCTTGTATTAAACTAACGAGTATGCCGTTTTTATTTCATGTTTCGTGGAAATAAATACGTGGCCTCCGAGGGATGTTGCAGAAGTGGCACAGTTGCTTTTAAGTTCTGACCCTCGTCATCATCTTCTGTTCTTATTTTGCAGCACCTCCAATGTTATCCGCATCAGGAAATTGCGTTTTACTTGTATTGAGAGCGCAATTAAAGGACTTGGCAAAGTGCCAAGGAGCCGCACGCGACACGCGCGCTTACGACGGATGTTATGAACGGCGGAATCTGCGCCGTAAAAAGGCAGTGGGCGGAGCATGGAAGAATTAGCGTGTTTCACGGCCCTGTATCTCCATTCCTGGGCATGTTTGGGCGGGGGACCCACGACACATCGACATCTGGGGGGCTGATAGTCTCATACACCCTCAATGTGTATGAGCGTACCATGTGTCTTTAAGGAATGGGCAAAGCGGGCCCTGGGTGGCGTACGGATAGCGCACTCGCCTCGGCAAAGGCGGTCGCAAGCTGCGCGGTTTGACTCCCGCCTGGGGCAGGCCTGTTCGTGTGTGCCATGGGGCACGATTTTTCTGCCCACGCACTCCAGCATTCTTGTGACAACAACTGTTTGAATGTTTCTTGTTCAGGTCAAAGCAAAATGGTGCACTCGCGCCATGTTTATTTTTCTAACACTCTATCCCTGATCGTTTCCTCTCACAAAAGGCCTTTCCTTGGGCGAATAGGCAGTTTGTTTCTCAGTACGAACGCCTCTCAACCAGGGGAATCCTGCCGTTGGGGAGAAATTTGGCAAAATACGACTCGAAAGTTCCACCTCTGGTTGAACCCGCAGTACTTAGCACCTCTCAAACTTCTTTACCTCTTTGTTCTCGATTCGCACCCAAAAAAAAACTGTGGGGAAGAGGAGGGGGGGGAGGGTGGGGGGGGGCTAATGGCAGCGTACATTGAAAACGGCCAGAAACACAAACCTATTCTATACAGAAGCTGAACTGTGCGAATTCCACTGTCCCTCTCACTATACAGTCTTGTTCGCTGCGAATGAAGGGGCGTTTCAGTGATGGCGCGGCACCAAACCCGTTTCACCAGTTATTGAAGCGAGCAAGTGATAATCGTATCATCTCGCTGGTATCAGTCTTTTTCCGCCCGTTACTGCCGCTTACCTGCTTCAACAACAAGTGGAGAATGGGTCTGGCGCCGCGCCGAACCCATCCCACCTGTCACGCTTCTTCATCCAACTACATTTGCCATTTAGACTATATTTGCCCAAATTCCACAGTAAAAACGCCGTTGGCCGAGGCAGATGTCTGCAAACGTACAGTGATCATCTTGAAATTGGTCCAAATCTGTTGCCACTCAAAAATCCCCCACATTCCCCATTAGTGAAGTCCTGAGTGCGACCTCCCTCCCTCCCCTGCAACACAATCAAAATCTATCGTTCAAAAACCCTCAATATACGGCCTGCCCTGGTCACAAAAACAACTTGAGCCTAAAGGTTTTTTCTGATACTGGTACGAAGCCAGCTTTTGCAGCTAAGTCCTGGCAGACTTCCATTATAATATTTTCCCCACTATTTCCCATTATAACTCGCTGCTGGCTAGCTTCGTTTCGTTTTGTCATTATTTCGGTAAAAAACTATCTCATTTTGCTGGCAAATCATTTACGAATTTTCTGTATCTCTCAAAGTAGCGAAGCTTGCAGTGTTTCAGGTATAAGGATACTTTTATCGAGAAGAACGAAGAAATTCAAAGAAGACTGAATGCAACCATCCAAGATGTTGACGCAGATTTTCAAACCATAAAAGCAAGGTTACAGCAAACAGGATAGCTTCCAGTGACGGTTTTGAGGCTCAACGCTTCCAGTGCCTTCTGATTATTTGTACATTTCGAGTCGCATAACTCTTCTCTGATTTGCATAACTCTTATCTCAATTGCATAATTGAATCCACTGCATTTTCAAGTGCAGTGTTAGTGTTGATTTGCTATTAACCCGACCGGACCAGGCGTAGAACGTGATGGTCTGGACCCAGATTGTTTTCACTCCGTCATCTCCTTTTTTGTTGCTCCATATCACTAGTTTGCATGCTAAGTCACTCATTCTATGTGCCTTGAGGGAGAGGTGGCAAGTGGCACGCTCACCGGGCGCGCGGTGCGAGTACCAGCTCCCGGACCGGCTCCTGCTCTAACCAATCGAACCTTCTACCCTCCGGAGACGGTAAATTGGTGCCCGATACGGACGAGAACATTGACTTGTACATCGTCTTTTTCTTCTTCTTCTTCAGCACGTCCCGCTCTGTAGCGGGGTCCGCTGTTCTTATTTTATGATGCCACTTCTTCTGATTGAATGTCTGGTCGATGGGTGCCCACTGTCTTCAAGTCCGCATGCAACATGTCTAGCCAGCGCTGCTTGGGTCTTGGGGCTACCTTGAGGCCACTTTTCGAGCATCTCGAGCTCAAGGCCACTCTTACGGACGATGTCAGATTTCGGACGCAATACATGACCATACCTTCGGGGGCGAACTTCGCGCATCTATAGATCTACAGATCCTTCACTTGAGGCGCTCTGGTATGGTCTTGTCGCAAAGAATGCCAGTCATGGAGCGCACTTAGATCGCTGCACACGCGCGCTCACTCCCGAGTTCAGACCACCATCAGACGTGATTACTGGTCCGAGATCTTTGACCGCCGTTGTACGCGTTAGTTCACTGCCATTGATTTTAAGGGTGAGGGACTCGTTCGAGTCGTTTGTCAGATAATCTGTTCTCTCTACGTTTCGTCTAAGTCCGAAGTACGCCAAGCGCTCAAACCAGGCTCGCACCTGTTGTTTGAGATCATCGTCAGCGTAGTGAAGCGTTCAAAAAGCCGGTTTTGAAGGTCTCGTGAAATGGCATTCATGACGATAACGAAGAGAAGTGCCTTCCCGTCGTTAATGCCAAAGAACTTCTCCACATCCCCGGTCTAGCGGTGACGAGCTTTGGCAGGTCGGTAAATGTGCAGTTCGCCATCGCGCACCTCCAGCTTCCCCTGAGGTTTTCAAAGTAAGCGGCTTTCGCGGCAGCCACAGCCTTCTTTGCCGTCGGCTGTCAGCTTACTATTGTCTTTGAGAAACAAGTGATAGCGCCTCTTCTCTCCTCACCTTTAGTCTGCCGTCGTCTGTCCACAACCATGCCTGCTTGTCAATTCAACGCCTTTCAGTCTTCATTGTGCCTAGTTGGGAGCAAACGGCTGGGACTATGGCTTTGGCAGCGATTTTCTAGGTGTCATAGGCAGTTTTCACGGTAGCTTACCGAATACGAGAGACCACAGCTGCCTCCGTTTCTTGTGAACGTCACCTCATGATTCTCTCAAAATCACATCGCTCGACCTGTTTCGACCTGAGCGGTGCGTTCTTCAGCGCACAGATCAACGGGCCATGTTGCGTGGCAACTGTCTCCTACGACAAGTCTTCGCGTCTGGATCGCGATGACTGACAAGAACAGTCTGTTAATGTTGCGGCACTTCCGCCGTAGAAGGTGATCATGTGGGAGTCAC